ACTCAGAAATCCACCTGCCTCTGCCTCCCAAGTGCTGGGATTAAAGGTGTGCACCACCACTGCCCAGCCCCTCTTCTTTTCAATATGGATGTAATGCCTGGATCTAGGACACCTTGCTTATGATAATGGGGGCATGTGTAAGAGAAATAAAATTGTTAATCTGCTGAGTTAATGTAGGCAGTGTCCACCTTCAAATTTCTTATTTCTTTGGAACTCCATTTAAACCTCTGTAAGCTGGCCTTTCTTGTGGCTGCACTCTTTTCTATGATATGGACTCACCATATTTCTAAATAAATGGTGATACATCAATGTCCTTTTTCTTCAGAAAAAGTCTCACTACATTGTCTAGGCTGATCTTGAATTAGTGATCCTTCTGGCCCAGGCTCTTGATTAGCTGGCATGTACCACCATGCCCACTCCAGATTTATTGATTTTTACTAGTATGTATTGGTCTTCTTAAAATGGATCAAGATGCCCAGCAAGGTAAAAGCACTTGCAACTGAGTCTGATGACCTGAGTTCTATCCTTGGGATCCACATGGTGGAAGGAGAGAATATACTCCTGAAATTTGTCCCCTGGCCCCATATATATGGTGCAGGACATGCACACACACATGCACTAAACTTTAAAAAAAATTTGAATGGGTAAAAAATTCCATTCTCATACCTTCTGTGCTGTGAGGAGATACTACAACTCCACACCTACTCCAACAAGGCCACACCTCCTAACAGTGTCACTCTATATAGGGCAAGCATTCAAACACGTGAGTCTGTAGGGGCCGTACCTATTCAAACCACCATACCTTCTCATCATATCTTCTCTCCTGTTATACTAATTATGTTGAATTATTATTTTGGATCAAATCAGCATTTACTGTCATATTGTTCACAGCTGAGACAAGTGTAATTTTCAATGAGAAACTGCTTGAAAACTATAAATGATAAGGGAACTACAAGTTCCCTTTTTAAAAATTTAAACTAAAATATAATTGCATCATTTCCCTGTTCCCTTTCTTCCTTTTATATTATTATTTTTGAGACAGGGTTTCTCTGAGTAGCCCTGGCTGTTTGGGAACTTGCTCTGTAGACCAGGCTGGCTTCGAACTCGCAGTGATCTGCCTGTCTCTGCCTCTGGAATTCTGAGATTACAGGTGTGCACCACCATTACTTGGCTCTTTTCTTCCTTTTCCTCTCTCTCGACCTCGTGTCTTGTTTTTCTCTAATAAGCATATAAGTACAACCTTCTCGATCTGTACGTTACTCATATGTGTATGACTTGGGGGTTTACTACTTGGTATTGGATGACAAATTACTGGGGGGTTGGGGGGGCACTTTTCCCAGGGAAGACTATTTCTCTCACGCACAGCTTTCCTAAGTTGCCAATAGTTCTTTGTCTAAGGTTGGGGCCCCATAAGATCTCTCCCTTCCATGTTAGCGTGTCTATTCCTATTGTCCTTGTTTAAGCAGTCGTGTGGAGATTTCATGACACTTCTAGAAGATCCAATCTCACAGCAGACTTCTTGTTCCTCTGGTTCTCATGTTCTTTCCACTTCCTCTTCCTTGGTGTTCCTTGGTCTTCGGGGACAGGGAGGGGCTGTCCTGTAGATGTATCGGGTGTTCCTTGGTCTTCGGGGACAGGGCTGTCCTGTAGATGTTTCGGTTGTTGCTGAGCATCATATGATCATTTGGTCTTTACATTCTCATGGGTTGTGTTTTCTCTAATGATCTCTGTCTATCACAAAGAGAAGGTTCTTTGACGAGGTGTGAGATATCTGGCTAGACTCTGGCACAGGATGTACAACTCCTTTGTTTTGAGGCAGTCTTATGCAGGCCAAGCTCATCCTTTACTTACTATGTAGCTAAGGCTAGCCTTGAACACTTGATCTTCCTGCCTCTACCTCTCAAATATTGGTTGGGATAAGAGCACCTCCACAAATTAGTCATCCAGTACCAAGTAGTAAACCCCCAAATCATATACATGTGAGTAACATTATACAGACTGAGGAGGACACCATATTTGGTCCATTTTTTCCCCTTCAAGACATTCTTCCTGGAATCCTATTTTCTCATTTCAGTTTGGTCTGGCTGCTGTTGATCTCAACAGGCAAGCTTTTAATTCAATACTGCTTTCAGAATTTCCTTTGCTGTCCTTTTCTACTGAATCCTTTTTAAAATTTTTAATGTTTTTCTATGTTATGAGTGTTTTGCCTACATATATGTCTGTGTACCATATGCATGCCTGGTGCCAGCTGAGGCCAGAAGCTAGCAATAGAGTCTCTGAATCTTGAGTTATAAAAGGTTGTGGGCCATCATGTGCGTGCTTAGGGATCAAACCCAGGTCTTCAGGAAGAGCGGCCAATGCTCTTAACCACTGAGCCATCTCTCCAGCACCACTGCTAGATTTTTGGAGGTGTTATTCCAGTGTCTTTTTTTTTTTTACTGTTGAGAAATCATCATCATTCTGGTTCCTAATCCTTTGTATTTGTGTCATAGTTTTCTTTTTGGAAGCTTCTGGGATTGCTGTCATGATATTTCACAGTGGTATGATATCTTTTTGTCTCTTTTTAAAGTTTTTTCCCTAAGGATGTGATATCTTGAGGTAGACTTTTTCTTTCTGTACTAGGCTTTAAATCTTTAAATCTTTAATCTTTAAATCTCAGTCTTTAAATCCACATCCTTCAGTTCTTCCTTAGTGTGGAACCCAATACTCCAATAGCTGTGGTACACATCTGAAAGGCAAACTATTGACCAGCTAGTCCGTTAAATTACAGAGTAAACTTTTAGCATTTTTCCCAATTGTTTGGGTCAAGTGGGAGTCATATGCAGGCTTCAAACTCTTCAGTTTCCATCCCTACTCACATTCCGGTGGTAGATGTCCCAATACCTCTATCTGCTCAGCTTTGCCAGGGTTTTGGGCTGATTGAGGAAACTGCTTTTGATATAGATACCACACAATATGTGATAGCTCAAGCATAATTCTCTGAAGTTATCAGTACAAGTGACTTTTGGTATTTGTGGGTTCTATATCTACAGCTCTACCAACTGTAAGATGAAAAAACTTAAAAAAAAAAACCTGTTTATAGGGACTGGAGAAATGACACAGCAGTTATGAGCATTTGCTCTTCCAGAGGGCTCAAGTTAGGTTCCCAGTGCCTATCATAGTCAGCTCACATATTTCCTCATTTCCTTCATCGGACCTTCTTCCTTTTCTTCCCCAAGGATATATAACCTGCTTTACCAAGAATCAGTGTATTTTGGGAATCTATTTCTTCTCCTCACTGGAGTTATGGTGAGTCACAGCTCTGACTCCCTTCTTCCTTTCAAATCAGTAAGGTAGCTTATTAGACTTTTCCTCTGCTATCCCCTTCCCCAGGAACCTTCTAGGCTCTGGACTTCTAAGAGTAATGTCTTACCCTTTGAATTAGAGGAGGAATGTGGTTAGCTGAATCTTGGGGCTAAATGCTATCCTTTGAGAGTTTTGAAATGTTATTATAAAGTGGGCATAAGATATATGTGTATAGAAAATTTCTCAGATCAAATGACTTAACCTAGAAGAATGACAGGAAGGAAGGAAGGAAGGAAGGAAGGAAGGAAGGAAGGAAGGAAGGAAGAAGAGGTGTTCTGAATGGCCTAACTAGGATCCATTTTCTCAGATGACCTGAGCTTGTGTCAAGTTGACAAAAACGAAGCAGCATGCTCCAGAGTTGACTGTGACATGTTGGTTTATAGTACCTGCCCTGACAATACCAATGCAATGTTCATCTGAGGGAAGAATAAGAAGTGTATTTGGAGCTGTTTTTTTTTGGGGGGGGGTTCGAGACAGGGTTTCTCTGTGTAGCCCTGGCTGTCCTGGAACTCTGTAGACCAGGCTGGCCTCGAACTCAGAAATCTGCCTGCCTCTGCCTCCCAAGTGCTGGGATTAAACGCATGTGCCACCACAGCCTGGCTGTATTTGGAGCTCTTATATGAAGCCTTCATTATTTCTGTGGAGCCAGGGGTGGGGTGTAGGGAGAGCAAGGAGTTCCCTGGCAGTAAGAAGCCTCTGCTTTCTATCCCTCAAGCAACCTCATAACATTCTGCAGAGGCGCCTCATGGAAACCAACCTGTCTAAGCTCCGAAGCAGTCGTGTCCCTTGGGCCTCTAAGACCAACAAATTCAATCAGGCTAAGTCTGAAGGGCTAAAGAAGTGTGAAGATGATGACATGATTTTAGTGTCTTGCCAGGTAAAAGAACATTTTTTTTTCTAGAGCTTTCTTAAAAGTAGGATTTGAGGGCCCTTTATGATCCCAATAGTAGGCCATCTCTCCTCAAAACTTTACAGATAGTGGTTGTTAACATGGAACTAATAAGTGAGTTTTAAAGTTCTATATACTAGAAATGCATATAATATTTTATGTGTGCACACTTGAATGGGAAGAAATACCAAAGCTGTTATCAGACTTACAAAGAATGTACATCTTTTTAGAGAGCTGGCATGTAGTTCAGTGGTTTAAAACAAAAACAAAAAAACACCTCATCTAGCATCCTCAAGGCCCTGAATTTGCTCCCAGAATAATTTTTTTTAAAAAAGATTCTGTATATAATATTTTGCATAGAGAGAGAGATTCCCAAAGTCCTTTATGGGTATTCTGCCAGCCTTAGATTTAGTTAGCAGGAAACAGAGCCAGTCAAAGACAGATTTAGTAGTGGGGGAAGGGGGACAGCACCAATGGACCAGTGGAAGGCTGCTCTCAAACCATGTCTTTCATTTGACATCTGCTGCTTGCTCTTTGTCTCTCATTCCTCTTTTCCTTCTCTAGATCCTATTAAAGAGTATATTTCCTTCCCACAGTGTGCTGGGAAGGACGTGAAAGCTTTGGTTGACACTGGCTGTCAATATAATCTCATCTCCTCAGCCTGTGTGGACAGATTGGGGTAAGTAAGCCATTTGTGCTGAGTGGAAGTCAGATGTAATTGTTTTTCCTGCTTGAATCTGGTTTAATGTTATAATGCCTGAATGTATCCACAGAAGCAACAGAAACATGCAAAGTTTTTTCTCCAGTCCAGAATCAGTTTCCTTAATAGAGGGGAGTGTTGCAATTTGTCAGACAATGGAAGAAATGCAGGAAACCTTGGGCCTTCTGTTAATTTCCACTTTCTAAATTCTGTGCAAGCTTCTAGAGTATGGAATGAGAGAGTGTAAGAGTCTTGCTCAGTATACACCCTGCTTGATTCTCTAGACAGCAAGTTGTCCTGTTGTTACTCCAGATGTGTAGAAGCAAGGATGGCTTTCTCTAACTAGGAGAGAGAAAACACATGGATCTTCCTCTTTTGGACTGAGAAAGCCATTCTATTCTGTGCCTTACTTCATTTCACTCAACCTTTCCAGTTACTTCTTCCTTCTTCTTACTGTTTCTTCTAAAGTACCAGATGTTCCCTGAGGTATCTTGACTAGAATCAACCGAATATTATTTTCCATAGTTTTCTGTAGACCAGTGATTCTCAACTTTCCTAACGGTATGACCCTTTCATACACAGCCCCCCATGCTGTGGTGATCCCCATCCATAAAATTATTTTTGTTGCTACTTCACAGTTGTAATTTTGTAACTGTTATAAATTATAATGTATATATCTGTAATGTAAATTCCAGTGGACTTAGGCGATCCCTGTGAAAATGGTCATTCAACTCCCAAAGGGGTCATGAGCCACAGGTTGAGAAGCACTGCTATAGACAAAAAATTATTCCATAGACCAAATCTCTGTAATTATTGAGACAGACTTAGTAGCCTGTCTAGAACTTTGTCCAAAACATGCATATTCTCAACTGGGCTTACCCAGGGCTTCATTTTAGTTCTTAATGACTGCATTACATGGTCTGTTTCTTCTATATCTGCCCGATTCTCACTCCCCACCTACTGTTGTGACTCTCTGAAATTTGTTCTTTGAATTATTTTATACATTACTGTTTAGGATTGGGGTAAAGTAAATTTCAGGACTCAAGTGGGAAGAATCTTAAGGTTTTTATCTTTTTTTCTTTAATGTAGTGAAGAGATGAGGTATGCACAATATGATGGTTCCAGAAGGACTAATGATGTCCTGGTGCATAATTAGGCACCAGACTGCCATGATTCTGGAGGAATTAATAACCATCTGTAAAACTGCAATTTTTTTTGGATGGGCTGTAACACCAAAAGAGAGGAAATGGAGGAGAACAGAAGTATTGGCACAGAAAGTCCATAATTAAGTATTTATCCACCATCCCATAATAGCTTGGATGCTAACTATTCCAATCAGCTTATATAATTGTGTGAAACCTTGGTGCTGTTCCTTTCTTTCCATCCCAGCAAAGGCAAGCCAAATTAACGAGAACTTTCTCCATAATATTCTTTGCTGCTACCAGTATCAATATTCTTGCCAAACAAGTACCTGTCCCCATTATCCTTATAGACTAAGGCAATTCTATGACAATAAATTGAAATAGAAAGGAGAAGAAAAATGGACCTTGAATGAAGCCTTTTCTAACTTAGGATTAATTTGCCTTCTGATATCTGTTATCCACAGACGGGTAAAAAGACGTATTAATTAAACTCTCTCACACACATATAGGGATATTAAGATGCAGAGCAGAATTCTCTGAACATGTCAACTCCTCTCTGCACAAATGCAGGTAGTGATTTAAGCTTCTTAAAGACAGGAAACAAGTCTCATGTTTTCTTTTGTATTCCTCTGGCATGTTTAGGAAGAAAGGACTTGAATCAAATATAGGCTGGCTAGCCCCAGGAAGTCCCTAGAGAACCCAATTCTGAGACAGAAAACTTTGCCAATGGGAGGGATTATGATAGCTTTCTCTCTGTTTCAGACTAAAGGACCATGTCAAATCTCACAAGCATGAAGGAGAGAAGCTTTCTCTACCACGGCATCTCAAAGTAGTAGGCCAGATTGAGCACCTATTGATTACAGTGGGTTCTCTCCGTCTGGATTGCCCAGCAGCTGTGGTTGGTGAGTTAAATTGGGGGCTAGACCTATGAGTCTAACATAAACCCTCCTGAGGTCTCAGGTTAGGTCCCCAGCATCTACATAGGATGGCCCATAACCACCTGTGACTCTAGTTCCAAGGGATCTGACACCTTCTTCTGACATCCTCAAGCTCCTGTACACATGTGATATACATACACACTTAGGCACACACACACACACACACACACACACACACACAAATATTACATAAATCTTTAAAAATAGAATGGAGCCAGTGGAATTGCTCAGTGGATTAAGATAGTTGGAATCAAGCCTGACAGCCTGAGTTTGATCCCCAGAACCTACATGGTGGAAGAAAAACACTGACTTCTGCAAATTGTCCTCTGATTTCCACATGTGTTCCATGGCACAGGTGTGCCTCCATAAATAAACACATGTAATTAAAAATGTTAATAATAAAAAAGCATACTTGATCACATAAGCCTATTTTCATACAAGTATGTGAATGTACTTTCTCACTCTTCATTGTTCAGTTAGCTTCCACTGTTGCTCTCAACAGCTTCACTACTATGTTATGTCATCTGTTTATATATGACCGTATGTGCCCTTATGAAAGAAGACACACAAATGAGAGAAAACATGACGTATTTGTCTTTCTGAAACTGATTTAATTTACTTACTATGATGATCTCCAGTTGCATCCATTTTCCTGCAAATGACATAGCTTCATTCTTCTTTATTGCTAAAAGAAATTCCCTTATGTATATAAGCCATAGGAAACAGACTTTTCCTACATTTACTTATTTACTTGTTTGAGGAGGGTATGCTCATATGACATGACAATTTTATGGAGGTCAGAGGTTAGGTCTTTCTCTCTACTGTGTAGATTTCAAGGAGTGAACTCAGGTCATCAGATTTGACAGCAAGCACTTTACCCACTGAGCCATCTTACCTGCCTAAAGACAGCCTGATCACCTCCTCTCCTTCTGTGCTTCTCAGATGTTCTATGCTAAGACTACACTAAGCACCTGCCTATATTTTACTGAAGGCCTCTCTCCTCTAGAGCAAAAAAGACTTCAGTTTGAATTTTGGCTCTTACCTTCTTTAAGCTATAATGATCTGAGAAAGTACTCAATAAAGTTCAACAGATGTTTTTTTGGGTAGTTAGCTGGCTGGTTTGTTGGGTGGGTGGATGGATAAATGGGACAAATGAACCGAGTGGTGTTTAGGCTGGCGTCCAAGCCAGCATGGAAATGTCTGACTCTTACTGTTTTGTTTTTATTAGATGATAATGAAAAAAGCTTGTCGCTTGGTCTCCAGACTCTTAGATCCCTGAAGGTAGGACTGACTCTACTTTTCCTTTGATATTACCTCTCAGAGGCAAAAGAACTGGGAGTAGCATCACTGACAAGTGACGAGTGATCCTTCTTTGTTTTAGTGTATCATAAACTTGGACAAGCACCGGCTGATTGTGGGCAAGGCAGACAAAGAAGAGATCCCTTTTGTGGAGACAGTTTCTATGAGTGATGACAAGTGAGTACATGAGTCAGGGATGCTCAGGCAGTGTATAGGCTTATAGCCCACCTTTAGCTGTCAGGCATAGCAGAAGTCAGCCTGTCCCCAGACCAGAGTCTGCTGCCCCACAGAACTCTGTAGCCTACATGTTATAATAAACAAGGATAGCACACAGAATGGTAGAAGAAACTAACAGCCTTTTAAGGTGTGTGTGTGTGTGTGTGTGTGTGTGTGTGTGTGTGTGTGTGTGTGTGTGT